TGTCACTTTTTGCACAAACGTGCTTATCTCGCCGAGTTGAGCACCTGTCTCTTATACACATCTAGATGTGTATAAGAGACAGGAGAGAGATAGAGAAGTAGGAGGTATTAGTTACCGGAGCCAGGGGGCGGGTGGGGTTGTGAGGCGTTACACCCCCAGTAAAGTCATTTAGTCGCTAGTAGTAGCGTCCCCTACCACTACAGAACAGGGGTAGATGCATGTGATTCGAGGCAAACGTGAAGGAGTTCCCCCTATTTATAGCTAAATGATTCTGGCACACTCGTGGGTACTGATTTATTTGACTGCTGCATAGTCTATCCACATCCCACCCCACCCTCTCCCCTCCAGCAAACATGGTCCGCCACTGTAGAGCTTATTTATCTAATGAAGAAAGTCGAAAAAACAATAGAAACGATTCTGTGTTTTAAAATAGTCCAACTGCGAAATATCTCCCAAGCCCTGGCCTACCTAACCTAGTATTTTTTGTGCACCACCTAGGCATAGCCCTACCACAATAGGCCTTGCCCCTAGCATCAATTCAGAATCTGAATGCCAATACTCCAATATTCAAATTTGCTTAATTTTATAATGAATTTTATACAACAGAAATTCATTCAGAAATTCAGCTTATCTTACCATTAAATGTTTGAACAAATTGTTTACGAGAAAACCTAAAAATCTCGTAAATTAAAGATCACTTAGGTTCATAGCTTCTTATAAACTACGGTACTATAATGGTAATGATGATAATAATAATAACAATGATAATGACTTGGCAGTAATATTGTAAGTGACAGTGACAAGGACAATGGTTTAAGCAAATTGTAAAACTGGAATGGTCACTCTCTATTGCAAAAAAATTTTAAAGTCAGGCAAAGATGCGTTTTGATTTAATGATGTGTATGTCTACAATAATCATAAAGACCATGGAAATTGCCTTATCACACACATTTTGTTCAATACTTTTTCCTTTTTAGCATTTGAAAATGTTTGTGGCGAATGTCCTGAAAACCAAATTTGTCTTCCAACACCACTAGCCAACTCAACGTCAGCATCATTCGTCTGCAGATGTCAGGATGGTGAGGACTGTGAGGTAAACGTGTTTGGTAAGCGAATAAAAAATGATAGGATTGGATTTATTGGGTGGAAACCAGTCAGTTTGCTAGCGTTATGAACGTAATGTAGCCTATTTCATTTGGAAATTTTTTTTACAGAACCGTGTGAAGTTGAGAATGGTGGATGCGAAGATACTTGTATAGCTTCATCCCATGGAACTGTTTCTTGCCAATGCTCATTTGGGTTTAAATTGGGCGAGGATGGAAAATCATGTGATCAAGTTACGTCATGCGAGGAGTTTGATTATAAATGTAGCCAACTTTGTGACGATACGCAGGGCGAGGTCAAGTGCGCATGCGTTGATGGCTACGAATTGGGCAGTGACAATCGTTCCTGCATTGCAGACAGTGGCGTAGATCCAAATTTATTGGTTGTTGTTGGTAACGGTCGCATATCTAAATACTTAAATTTGAACGGTACTTTTATCGGTTCTACTCCAGTAAAAACTAAGTACGTAGGAGGATTTCATGTTGTTGCAGTGGATTACAATCTACGTACAAATAAAATGTACTGGAGTGATGTATCAGATGTCCAAAAGAATATTTACGAGTACGTATTTTCATTTAGCTAAAGGCTTATTTTCCATAAAATCGGTACACGGACGATACAGCAGTCAATACACGACGTAGTTCTCCCCGACGCAATAGCCCTTTCTTTAATGTCAATCAAAATTAACAACTTATTAAACAGATCAAGGCTAGAAATACGCAAATGTCTGACTAGCGCACGTGCTGTCCTACAAACGCGCGTGTTTCAACACTGTCGTTGTGAGATTAGCAACAATTCAAGGGGCGGAGCCTAGGAAAGCTCTCTGATTTGACGGCCACTCAGCTTTGCTGAAAACTGTCGATGATAGCGTTCAGCTACAGTTTAGACACTTAGGCCTACCTGTTACCCTGCTGTTAACACAAAAACCGGATCATCATCTGCATCATTATCATCATCATCTTATTCTTTAACATCATTATTACGATAACATTTTGTGCTAACGCGCCAGTGAAGGTCGTTAAAATCCCCTAAATATGGTCAGTTTACAACTCCTTCTTTTTCAACGTAAAAATAGTGCATGTGGCCGAAATCGCCTGTGTTACTATCATAAATGATTTCACGATTAACAATAAATATTATCTATCGTGAGACGCTCTAACTTCATAAGGTACTTGAGTATTGAGCAAACAAAAACTAACTTATATATGAAATGAATACAAATATAGGCAATGGCTAATTGTTACGAAAATCTTAAACAAATTCCTGATTCTATTGAATGTTATCGTCCTAATCAAATCCAACATCCAATCAGAATTAAATATGCTGCAACAGCCTAAATATAGCCACTGCCAAAAAAAAAATAACGGGCTTGTAAATAGCCTTTTCCGTTTTTCAGATCTCCACTTGATTTTGATCAGTACTTCTCAACTTATCCAAATGCTGTGAGATTTAATACCGGAGTCTGCGAAGGCATTGCTGTAGACTGGATACACAACAACATGTACTATACCAACACACAATCTGAAGTCATTAAAGTGGTTGATATTGATACCAAACAAGAAGCGACGCTGTTATCTGGTTTGTCAAATCCAAGAGAAATTTCTGTGCATCCGGGAATTCGGTAAATAAGCCTACAGTATGTTTGCTTGGTTATGATGACAGTAACAAGGGGTCTCAAATCTCCCGTAAGCCGGGCGCATGAATCCAGGGCGGATCCAGAGACATCTGAAAGAGGAGGGGCGAAAGTGGAGCCGATCGAGTTAACACCATCCTAGGGGGTGTGGGTGCATTCCCCCGCAAAATTTTTGTTTTCGTCTGAGGCGTTGTAGGCTATCAATTTTTATTTTTCTTTCCTTCTTTTTTACTTTCTTTTTTTTTTACTTTCCAAAGGGGACCTAAACCCGCCCCTTCGAATCTCCTGGAAATCGGGACGGCCTTTCCCACTCCAATTTACAATATTTGCATATTTTTTACTCTACTGCATGATAAATTGTCTAGCGGAGTTCAGTGTACAGCACTTTTATCTATCATGCAAAATACAATTAAAATGTTAAAAAAAAGACTCATTTAAACAGATCTCTCGGAATTGACTTCTTCCAATTTGGAACCCCTGCAGTAATTATTTACTTTTCTCTGATGACGATTATTGTCTATTAGGCTTACAACGGTATCTTACTCTTCGCCGTCTTAAATCATCTAACAAACATCTACTTGAGCAAGGAAGGTGGAGACATAAAAACCAGGGTAAACTGACATTCTCATGTGCCGCGTCTACATTATGGAATGCTCTTCCTCTTGAGATAAAAATCTCATCTTCAGTCAGTATGTTTAAGAAAAAGTTAAAAACTTGTCTCTTCTCCCTCTCATTCTAAGTTTTTGGACACGCATGTATATTGTTTGTTATTTTGTTATTTTTTTAAAACATTTTTCATAATCTTACAAGCACTGTTAATTAACATCAGTAGGTATTTAATGATTGATTGATTGATTTTACCTCAGGGTTACGATAAAATAGGCTTTCAAATTACATTTTTTTAGCCAGCAGACAGGTTTTAAAATAACATTTTTTCAGCCAGCAGCCACTAAATTTAAAGCCAGAATCCAGCAAAATGTTTTGATATGCAAAATTCAATATTTTAAGGAACTGACGTGAAAACGAGTACGGTTATTAAAGGTTAAAAAAAACTTTTGAATTTTTAAAAGATGTGGGAAAGGGGTGTATTTTCCCCTTGGAGTCTGGCTGTGACGTTATAAATAGGCGGGCCTAGAATGCATGGCATGTGTAGTGTAATGACATTAGAATTGAATTACATTGAAACTGAATCAATTGTGTGGCTACGAAAAGGCTAAAATTGTTTTTACAGTATTCATGGTATCTTTATTCAAAAAAATACATATACAGTAAATATAAAAATCCATAGAATTATACTATTGCAGCAAAAGCTGAGTTGCAGAAATAGTCTTGTAAACCAATGACAGTGAGACTCATTCTAATAATAAAGATTTATTCGTCGTAATAATAACAATAATTTAGTTTTTGTAACATTTAATTAGTATTATTAATTCGATAGATATGTGTTCTGGACAGAATGGAGTAACTATAAAGGCATTGGGCGTATAGCAAAAGCAGGGTTGGACGGTTCACATCATCAGGCGGTCGCTAAGAATGTTAATTGGCCAAACGGCTTGACAATTGACTATCCCGCATCCACTCTTTACTGGGTTGATGCTTACCAAAGCGTCCTCCAAGTAAGCGATTTTAATGGTAAAAACGTACAGACCATATACCACTCATTAGCTAAGCTCCCTCATCCGTTCTCACTAACCATCTTCGAAGACGTTCTGTACTGGACTGATTGGACGATCGACGGTATAGTGGCGGCAAACAAACTGGATCCTAAATCAACTTCGAAGAAATCTTTTGTCGGTGTGTTTCCCGGTATACAGGCGTTAAAAATTGTTCATCCCCTTCGACAACCAGGTAAGACCAATCTCAAGTAAGTTTTAAAAATCACTAAAATCAAAATAACTAAAATTCTGAAGCGTTTACACAATACAGTATAAAGCAAACACCCTGAAACCTTCCTATCAGACCATTCACGTTCAAACTACCTCGGACCATTGGTCCTCAGATTTCTACTTGCGCCCGCATACTGCCGACAAAAGTATCCTTATCCGTCACTGACAGTACAGTAAGTGGGAATAATAAGCAATTATAGTCAGGATTTGAATACACTATAGGAAGGCCTTTGTTTCTTGCATGAAGCCAGCAGAGCTAAAGGCAATGCAATTCTTGAAGGAAAATAATGCTTTCTAAGTATGTAACTGTATTAAAATCACCCCAGCTTTGAGAATTTTGCTCACGAGACGCAAAAAATCGGAGCCACGTTGATTTATATACCCCATACATAGATTCTAGGCATCTGATTGGTTAACAAACAGACAATAACTTCAACCATCATTCCTAAGACGTAATTTCAATGATAGTTAAATTCCCGGGGAATTACAGTACTATTACGTTAAAATGATATTATTTTTTTGCCCTGTCGCGATGTAATCAGGCCCCATCTATCTTCTTCTTCCGTTAAGTTGCCGCCTTCATCTTGTTGAAGATTCTGCAACTATCTACAAGGTCATGGGTGTCTGTGTTTGCCACCATGTAACCATGTTGTTAATTGTATTTCTTTGGATGTATATGTTTGTTTAATTTTTAACGTGCTTGAAAATAAACTTTCTCGTACATTCTCTTCTCTTATTTCATTTGAAAATTTGTATTTGATTTAATTTTTTACATCCTTTCCTCGGTCCTTCGGCGGCCCTCAAGAAGATAGTAGGCTACGGTCTCCGCATCACGGAGGGGAAATAGATTTCATCATTCCTCTCATGAGCAGTCAAAACATTTTATACCATTTTACTATATGATGATCCATTCCTTTGCGTAAATGCTAACAGACAGACAACGGGAATATATAACGTTCTTGGTGGAGGTAATTATACATTTTGTTTGTTTATTACTCTACAGAGTATGAAAATGTATGTTTCCCGTGTGTTGACAGAAGAAGCCTATGCCTACCTTCACCAGTCAATGCATCGTCGGGGCCCACGGCACCATTCGTATGTAGATGTAAGGATGGTTATGACTGTGAGGAAACAGTGTTTGGTAAGTGAAAAACTTTTCAGAAACTTACATTTCGCAACTTATAAGCATTGCTTTAATTTTTGATCTATTGTTTATTTATTTATTTGTTGAATAATATTATACCGGCCTGTTAATGCAGATGGTTCGCTGTTAGATTGGAATAAATAAATAAAATAACAGATAAAATAGTATTTATTTACTTGGGAGGTAACTGTGTATAAATAAAAGGTTTCCTATATCGGTAAGTAATAATGATTAATATGATTAATGATGATAATGATGATGATGAAGTTGATGCTAATACTGATGATGGTGATTATTAAGATAATGGTGATCATTTTTATGTTGATATTAGTTAAGGTCTCCTTTTATTAAAGGTTCCTCCAATTAAGGCCTCCAATTGTTGTCTATTATTAACAAATGTCTTATTTATTATTCTAAAAAGATACTAAAGCTGCTAAAGGCCATGGAAACCCCGGTCCCAAAAGTGGTCTTTAATTGGAGGGTGACCTGCAGTATAATTTTTAAACTTATATACCAACCAAACAAAAACCAACAAAGCAAATAATCAATTAATAAATCGATCGATTAAAATTTTGAATTAATGTTTTGCTATAGATGCGTGTGAATACAAATATGGCGGCTGTTCACAGAAGTGCGTTGACTCCACCTGTCAGTGTTTCTTTGGCTTTAGATTGGGCGATGATGGAAGATCATGTGATCAAATTACGGCATGTCAAGAACTTGACGATTTGTGTAGCCATTGGTGTGATGATTCAACAGGCGCAGTCATATGCACATGCTCAGACGGTTATCGGTTGACCAATGATAATCACACTTGTGTTGCGGATAGTAACGTAGATGCTACTTTAATGATTGTTGAGGAGGGAGTTTCGATTGTCTCGTATCCAATACTTGATGATAGTAATTTTATCGGAGCACCCGAGAAAGAAAGGACATTCAACGGACATATGGTTGCTATTGACTACGATTTTAGGAATAATTATCTGTATTGGAGTGACATCTCCTTGGCAATGATATTTCGGTATGTGCATATAATTTATATGTATTTTGAGAACTTCATCATGCAAAACATGCTTACTTGATTCTACACAACCATTCATGAGCAACCAAACAAACCACAGATATATCAGTTAATTGCGTCACCAAAAGTGTCATTTATCTCATATATTGTAATATTTGTGGTAAACATGTCGGAGAAACAAAGAAAAAAAAACACTCTTCTTATGGAATGACATAGAATAGATCAGCTATCAAAATATCATAGCTTAATCAATCAGTAGCTGAACATTTCATTTCACACACAATTGCAAATTTTTGAGTTATTGAAATAGACCATAATGCCAATTGGAGCGACACAAATCGTAAAGAAAATCACTGTGAACTTTTACTTTATACCACCACGCCTTTTGGACTTATAATTAGGAACGTTCTCTCAGTACACTAAGGATCTATTTAGGTGTGTTATAAAAAGTATTATTTTCAAGTTCAATGCATATCACTAATTGTGTAAACGCTAATATATTTATTAAAAAAGATACGTTAAATTGAAATTGACAATCTATTTTCTTTATTATATGATAAAAGAGCGCCACTGAACTCATCATTGGAGTCTACGCCAGAGATTGTAGTGAGTAACCCGGCTTACAGTGAGGGCCTTGCCGTCGACTGGATTCACAATAATCTGTACTATACGGAAACTAAACTACTTGCCATCAACGCTGTGAACCTTGACACTTTGAAACTGGTCACGGTGGTATCCGGGGACATAGAAAACCCTAGAGCAATAGCTGTACATCCAGGAATAGGGTAAATGTCTTCCGCCTTCCTGCGTTTATGGGATTGAGAATATATTGTATTTGAAAGTATGTAATAAAGTATTGTGTTGAGATAAAGAAAATAAAAATTTAATTTAATTCAATTGCATACTTTGTGTTATTATTAAAATTCAATTTAAAATCACAGCGGAACTAATATTTTTCTAGCTTTACAGACGTGCATTTAGTACCTATTCTTTGAGATCAGTGGACAATAAAATCCAGGATTTTCTTAGTAATGGTAAAACAGTCTATAAGAATTGTATTTAGAGTACAATCCAAAGTTTCTCTAAATTTTGTTACATTGTTAATGAGCTTCGACTGCCTTTGAAGGTGATGATCAAAGTCAGTAAATTCCATTTTCATAAAGTAACTTCCTCGAAAAAAAATGGCTTCCAATCAAAAGTTCAAGAAGGACGATAGGAGGTTGGTTTCAGCAACCATCACACGATTTCCAGTGTCATCTTCAGTCATAGTTATAGCTCTTTGAGTCATACTCTATAGTCTTTACAATAATATTCATCTCTGTGATCTTTCATATTTCTGTATTCCCATATAGTAGGCCTAATATCTTTAAGCACTACTACCCTTCCATTTGCAATGTTAACTCCTAATTTGATTGCAGGACAGAAAGTGAATAAATGTTTATGAATTGGTTATTTCGCTTCGTTTTCACTATTGTTACGCTTAATCTTTTCTCCTTACTCATTATTGTGTCCCTTGTTTCTTGCTTTGCTACAGATATATTTTTTGGACAGACTGGGGCACTGGTGTTGTCGAAAAGGCGGGAATGGACGGTTCACATCGTCAAGTCCTCATTAGCCAACTTATTTCGCCGAATGGACTGACAATCGATTTCCCGACATCTACACTTTACTGGATTGATGCCACTCTTGACGCCCTCCAATCGAGTGATTTAAATGGTGAAAATCTAGCAACGGTTCTGGACTCGTCGCCTTTTATTCGTCATCCATTTGCGTTGACAACGTTTGAAGATCAACTATATTGGAATGACTGGATTCTTAGGGCGGTGGTGACAGTCAACAAACTTTACCCTAAATCGTCTGTTTCTAAGAAAGTGTTGGATACGCCTCTTACAGGCATGACCATTGTGCACTCCATACGACAACAAAGTGAGTTTTTGTTTTCCGCTTAGGTCTGGCACTCTCTGCGTCGCATACGAATCCAACTCCGCTCTCTGTGAGCCCTAGACGAAGTGACGCCGTCTGCTGATTGTCGGTGACTGTCTGAAATGGTCAATTTGCGCGCGCATCGTTGCGTTCTTCATACAATCGCATCGGCCGGCGACCGTTGGGCACAGAGAGTGCCCGGCTTCACATTTCATAAACCGTTCTCAGCTCTCGCATTCATACAATATTGTTTTTGAAATTCTTTAGTTCTTTGATGTTATGCGATTGCGGTATTATTTAATTTGGCTTATTGCATTAAAATGGTATTTAAAGTAATTCATTCAAATAACACTGTCACACTATAATTTTTCGTAAAATGTTTTTCTTGATAGATTTTAATAATATGTGTGGTAGTTGTTCTGAAAACGGAGTATGCCTTCCAAGTCCGCTGGGTGTTTCTGTCACATCATTCATCTGCAAATGCCCGGAGGGAGAGACGTGTGAAGATGCTCCGAAGAGAAGTAAGTTGTAGTACTCATTAAGATGATGAGTGGAGTTGAATAGCTTAGTGGTTAAGATGCTTGCCTTCTAATCTCATGGTCCTGGGTTCAATTCCTGTAGCAACAGGAATTTTTCCTCACGACTAAAATCAACTCCACCCTCTAAAGAGTCTTTGCTAATAAAAGCATCACAATATTTCATCTATTTAAGAGGACCCCTGAATATCAGCGGACCTACTAGGATACACTGTTGGGGTTACCGTCTAAAAATGGTTAATTGATTTATTGGTTTTATAATTGATTTATAAACATGGTTTATATCGATCAATCGTTTGTTCAATCGGTCGATTCGTCAATCATTTTGACTTACTGACTGACAGACAGATTAACTAACTGTCAGGTAGGTTATTCGATTGATTGATTGATTGATTGATTGATTGAATAAATGACTAATTGGGCGCAATTATCACAGATCTTACCCTCTCTAATTAAAACATAATTAAACTAGCTCCTACAATACCAATTGAATGTATTGCATACAAGCTTTTAAATATAAAAAAGGATAATTTAAATTTTGGTTAAATTTTTTTTTCCAGTTTCCTGTGAAGACAACAATGGTGGCTGTGCTGGCAAATGCGTCGACTCCACCTGCCAGTGTGACTTCGGCTTCAAATTAGGTGATGATGGAAAGTCGTGCGACCAAATAACGCTTTGCGAAGAACTTGTTGGTTCGTGTAGCCACTGGTGCGACGATTCAACAGGCGTAATTGAATGTGGCTGTTCGATTGGTTATCGATTGGCCAATGATAGTCGCTCTTGTGTTGCGGAAAGTGACATAGATGCAACTTTATTGGTCATCGAGCAGCGAATTTCTGTTGTCTCATATCCAATAAGTAGCGGTGGATTTATCGGAGCACCTGAGGAAGAACAGACGTACTACGGACATATGGTTGCAGTTGACTACGATTTTGAGAATAAATATTTATATTGGAGTGACGTTAATCATGACATGATATTTAGG